GGTTTGCATTCATCATCAATTAGAATTTTTACATGACAAACCCAGAGCATCCTGCTGAACCCAAATCACAGCTGGCAATCCTCGCGTGGCAACACAACCACTCTTTGAAACAGCTCCCTTCATTGCTATAGAGGGGGAAAAAAAGACACACAACACACTAGGACTAAAAATAATAAGCTGTTGTCCTGACAACCTCACAAAGGCTTACTTTACTACAGCAGAGCAGCGAGATAACCTGATCACCTTAAGCTGCTCCTAATTCTTCTAGAGCAGCTGGCCACTACAATAAGAGATGTATGCTTGCATACACACTATATACGATAACACATTATGCATTAGGATGTATGCATATACAAAGACACATTGTTCCCACTTTTTTCCCTCCACTTTATGTCACACACATTTAGTGTGAATTCTCATATTGCAGTACATGTCAAGTATTCATTTTTCAGTGCTGAGAGCCTAGAAAAATACTTAATACTTACTTGTTCCCTTGAATGTTCTTTAGGTATCTAAAAGTAGGAAATAATAGGCTTTGAACTGAAAATCACAACAGAAAATAATCACAGAGGAACTGTGAGATTAGTTCTTAGATGAATAAATATATAAATGAATAAATAAACAAGTAAAAGAAAAACAAAAAAAAAAAACAAGAAAAAAGAGAGACCACAGAGTAGGATTTCCTATCTTTCACAAATGCCTCCTCCACAAAATGTAAGAGATAGAGAGAACACTCATTTGCAGTGACAGTTTTGCTAACTATGCATTAATTGCAGAATTCATTTCTACTCCCCCAAGAGAACGGAAAAAGAAAAGCAGCAATGATTTTAATACTACATGCATTTGAAAGCCATATTCACTTCTTACTCCCCCCTTATGTTCTTATCCCCCGTAACTTGCCACTTAATTCTCATAGCCTTATCAGATGTGATGGGAATAAGTGTGAAAATCCAAGTTGAAGGACAAAATAGGGGTAACTGCATGGTAGTTCAGAATTTCCTTTCCACTCTCACCATACAGAATAAGCGAGTGCCCCAAGTAAAAAATAAAAATAATAATTAAAAAAAAAAACAAAAACAAAAGCAAACAGCTTCATAGGCTCTATCAGATTTAAGATAGAGGTTAGTAAACCAAAAGGGAAACAGCAGCCCAGATTGTTGATTTGTATCACAGCCCTGTATCTGTATTATGTATCCTCTAACATAAAACCCGTCAAACCATTTTCATATCACTTAAATCTGGGAAGTTATATTTTGAAATTCCTGTGATTCAAAAACCTACCTAGAAGATGAGGCAGCAGGAAGCATCATCAAAGTCAATAGGCACCGTGTCAGTGAGAAGTTATGGGGCAACGGGGAGTGAAGGGAGAGGGGGAAGAATGAAGGAATGGCAAAAGCTATGGGAGGATTATAAAAATGTCTGCAAAGCTGGATATGTCACACTGCAGGATTCAGGGCAACAAATGAAGACATTATGTAAGAAAAGAATCAAAGTCAGTAGCAGAACTCCAACTCCCGTGCTCAGAATTTTATTCAAGCATCTGAATTCACAGAGCTGCTGAGGGGGAGGGGAAGTCAGAACAACTTCAGCTACTGCTGCCTTCCTAGCTACTACAGCAGAGCTTGATACCTCTCCTACAGAGTTTTCTAGATTCCCTTATTTCCAAGGGATTCCCTCCTCCCACTGCAGCATCTTTCTTCATTATGTCTCTTAGTTCTAAACAAATAAAGAAAACCATTCTTAAGCACGTACAGGTCATTTTCTTCAAGAATCCAAAACTCTCCAGATAACAGTAGCTAAAACAATGTCTACTTCCTTTCAAACACCTACTATTCTTAAAATGTTTCACAACAGATCCAGGAAGGCTGTTTGCTTGTGGGTTCAAAAAGATGGAGCAGCTGCTGATTACATTCATTACACATTCAGGAGATTAATTAATACAAAGTCCAAACATTTCTTAAGAAAAAAAAAAAATCAAGTCATATGGCACCACTGTCAAGCATTATGAAGAATTAATAGTATTCTTAGCACAATCTACATTTAAAATAAATAGTGTTTCTTTAATAGAAAAGTGTTAAACATGCTTCTCCACCTACTGAATGCAAATTCCATAATTGGAGCTTGGTACTGGGTTCTCAGATTTGTAGACAGTTATTACAGTATTTGCCCAAATGGGGCAGAAAAATATTGAGGTGCACCCCAAGCCTAAATTTCCTGAACCATTCAGATTTATAAGAGGATGAAATTCCTCTTAAAAATAAAGAGAGCAAGTGATACTTAACTTTACAGGAAGTAATGTTTTAAAGACTAAATACAAATTATGCTGCTCAGCACATTGATATTTTTTACTTTAAGTACAGCACCACAAATAAAGTCAGCCATCTCCTCTTTACTTCACTGCTTCACAGTGCTCCTTGCCCAAATCACCACCAAGCTTGAGCACAAATGGAATATAGAAGTAAAACACTTTAAAGCAAAAAATTGCAGTGAAAGAGAAAGGAACATTCATCAAACCATGACTTCATTTCAAGCTGTAAGGATGGCCACTGTTAGGTAATTTTGGATGACTAATGTGAGAAACAAGATAACCCAGCACTCCACCCTCCTTCCACAACCAGGAACTTGCAACGTTAGTAAGAAAATATAAGATGTATTTCTCACTCCTCTTTACCAAACTACAACACTCATCATTAAAATGCATGAACCTACTGGTAATATTTTAACAGCCAGCCACCTAACCGTAATCTTAGTTCCAGCTAAGGCAAGGAGCAAATACTTCTTTCTGCAGACAGAACTGCTGCTCTGCATATAACAATCTTAGGGGCAATGACCGGCTACCATGCCCAACGTGAAGCTGACAGTGATGAAAGAACTGCCTCAGTTCACTTGTAAAGGTCATCAGGCAGTAAAAGAGGCTTTGCCTGTGTGACCACTGCTTTGCTTAGTTCCTGGTTTCACTCAACATCTGCAATAATATTTCACAATGCATTTGGGTAATAGTGCTTATCAGTAAGTGCCCACAAGAAAGACTGAATTATCTTTCTCTTATGATAACAAAACAGAAATCTGAAGTAGTCTGACTGGCACAGTAAGCAAATGCCAGCTAGAAACAAATAAATAAGGTTTTGTTTAACTCTGGGTTTCACATCATAGCCTTGGCATATATGAATGACACCTTTAATTGATCCAACATGATTGGTGAAACAGCCTGGCATCCTTACAAGCACATATTCCTTCTTGTTACATCTAAAGTGCTGCATGACCTGATAAACACAATGGACTTACCAAACCAAGACAATACACATTCAGAGCCTTCCCCATGATCTTGTTTTTTATGAATGCTACATAAATTATAAATAAACTGTTGTGGAGCTTAAGTGGTGTTTAAACATCCCTAACACATCATCGCTCATGATGATTTAAACATTTCTGCATTAATAATGAAACATTTCAAAGATCAGATTTAAGTATCTCAGAGATAGTAGCAAAGATACAAACAGAGAGGAAATGCTGGAGTCCACTGCTAACAGGCACAGTTTTGGAAAGACTAAAGAACAAGACGAATAGAGCATCAGGCCTATGCATTCCTATCCCCAGCAGGTTGCGATGCCCTGTGTTCCTGAATCCAGTCTCTAAAATATTTCTGTCTAAAGCAGTTATGGATAGGATCTGAAGAAAAATTAGCTGACAAGCGTACTGTGGCCCTTTTTAAAATGCAGCCTGACTCAGTAGTAATAACTGAGATTGAATTGTTGTTTCTGTCAATTTTCAAACAGCCTTTCCTATGCAGCTGCCTTCCTTTAAAGAAATGCAAATATTGTTGAGAACTATCTTCCAACCAAATAAACTTCCTTTAGCTGTTGGTAGCAGCATGTAGGAAATACTGTCCATAAGCATGAAGACAAGCAGGTCAAATAGCTGAATGATGTCAGCCAGTAAGCAAACTAAATTCTGCTCTGCTCCCATCAGCGCCGAACTGATGCAGAAGGCAGTTTACTATTCACACGAAAGAACAAAATAGACAAAAACAGAAATAGTAGGCTGCAGAAACAGATTACACGCTTCCCTTCTCCGTGGGATATCTGAGATAAGAAAGCCATCTAGCGTTAGCTCGTAGAAGTGAAAGCCGCACACAAAAGAGCTTGGGAAAATTAATGTAAGCAATTCTCTGTTAACTTCTAGTTTTTATGATGCAGAAAACACAAACTCACTTCCCCTAGCGAAGCCGGACCGAAAGCAGACACTGGGACTACCAACGCATTTAAGCGACCCGGTACCCATCGCCTGCCCAGCTCCGTGTCCGCTAACAGCCGCATTTGACATTTGGCAACTTCGGAGTTGTCTTTGCCAGGAAAGCTGCCTCCGCACCCGCACCGACACGCGGCCCCCAAAGCGACAGGGCCGTAAGAACAGACCCGCGTCAGGTCCATCCCGAGTGGCTCTCAGGTAGCGAACCGAGCGGTGAGTTTGGAAAACGGAGCGCAGCAGCCACCCCTGAGGAATACATGGCAACAAAGAGTGCTGAAGGATACAGATTGAAACGCAGGCTGAGGCTCATACGCGGTAACTAAGTAAAAAGCACGAAATCCACTTCAAGAAGCAGCAGGGGCTGAACAGCCTCCCACCACTCTCCTCGACGCGAGGTGCAGCAGCGGCCGGCCCCGGAGCAACGCTCTGCGGGCAAACTAACTCCACGATTGCAACGATCCCTACAGCAAGCTTCGAAGCTCGGAGCCCAGCGCCGGAGCAGAGCTGCTCCCAGCGGGGCAGGACCGCCCCGAGGCGCCGGGCGTTACGTATGCGGCGGATCGCGGCGCCACTCGGAAAGCGAGCGATCCCCTCCAGCGCTCCGCCGGACCGCTGCCGCCCCCTCGGCCCGCAGAGCCCGAAGCGGAGCTCCGTCGCGCGCAGCACGGGGACCCCCGAGGCACCCGGCGGGGAGAAGTGCTCCCGCGTCCCCAGAGATCTCCCCGCCCGCGCCGGCTCCGCTCCTCCCTTACCTGCAGCCGCCGCAGCCCTCGCTCCAGCCACGGGACCCCCATCGCACACGCGGGCACCACCGCCCCCTCGCCGCTCCTCCCTCTCTGTCCGTCTCTCGGGGCGCGGAGCAGCGAACGAACGCGGCCGGAGGATGACCGCTGGGATCCCGCGCGCCGCTCCTCCGGTCTCCTCCGGTCGCCTCTCGCTCCCTCGCGCTCTGCCCGGCGCTGGCTCTCGAGTGCGCTCCGTCGCCGGACGGGAGGGGAGGCGGAGGGAGGGGCGGGATCAGTCCCGCTCACGCCCGCTCCCTCCGTCCCCCGCACGCACTCAAGCCCCGCCTCCTGCTGGTCCCGCCTTCATTGGCTCCGCCGGCTCGGTCCCGGGGGAGCACGAACTCCCTATTGGCAGCTCGCGCTGTCGCGCAACCGAACCGCCAGGCCCCACCCCACGGCGTGCCGGCCGCCTCCTTCCCCCGGCGGGGGTCGCGGGGAGGGGATGGCGGGGCGCCTCGGCGTTGGGTTGGGCGGCCGGCGGCGAGCAACAGGTGGGGCCGAGGGAAGGAGTATGGGAGTCCCTCAGTCGCCGTAGGGCTTGAGCAGAGCCTCAACGGAACTCCGCTCCGTGTCCTCGCGGCGCCTTCGCCCCGCGTCAAGTCCCTGGACGACGCCGCCCGTTGGCTCTTATAGCTGCTGCTGTCCCCTAGCGCCCGCGGCTCTCACCCAGAGCTCCGAGCCGAGGAAGCCCGTATCGATGGCTCGTGTTCTTGGAGCTGCCCCGCGAGGTCTGCTCCTGTGCACCGATCGCAAACTGCGGGCGGTTAGGAACGGAGATGTTCTCCCCCTTTGGCACAGCCCTCAGCACTCCTGGTTTGCCTCCCAAATGAGCCTCGGCCGGGCAACCGCATTTTCCGCTCCCTCCTCCACGCGTTCTGGTAGGCAAACCGAAATCAGGTTTGGGGATTTGAATTTCCCTATTCCCGCTCTGCGGCCAGTTCTGCAAGAGGCCGTGCGCACGGAAGTTGCAAAACAGAAGACACTTATCAGCACCGACGCGCTCGCTTCCATTTGCTACCTGCAACATCAGTGGAAATAAAGGCTGTTCCGACAGAACCCAACAGAACAACCCATGGCTGTTTCATTTTTTCAGCCCTCCTGCTCATTCTTCCCTCCACCTGCACCCATCTCACGCACAAGTACTGTTTTGGTTGTACCGGTTGGCGCAGCACGGGCGGCCGGCTGCCTGCTGCCCTGCAATGCCGCTCCACTACCCCGCAAGCTTCTCCCCGTGCTGAAAACTGGGGAAGGTTTTAATAGAAAGGAACTGCCAAGTGTATGCCAAACATCCAAGGTACTCAGGATAAGATACATTTTAGATGACAAGGAAGTCTTTTACTGTAGGGGTGGTGAGGCACTGACACAGGTTGCCGAGAGAGGAGGCGAATGTCCCGCCTCCGCAGGCACTCAGGGTCAGCCTGGACGGGGCTCTGAGCAATGTGATCGAGCTGTAGGTGTCCCTGTGCATTGCCGTTGGACTAGATGGCCTTTAAGGGATCCTTCCAACTCAAAACATTTCTATGATTTTGTGAGACTACTATCCATTAAAAATAAAACTCACCCAACAACTGCAAGTGAACAAAACTGTGTTTTCCATTTGAATTATATCATAGACCATGTCCTTCCTGGAAGGTTCACTTCTTTAAAAGCTCTCCAGGAAACATCAGTGGAATGATGGGGAATTACGGGAGGTGCAAGGAACACTCAGTGAGACTGTCAGCACTTGCTTGTGATTTCACTGCTGCCCAAGCTTTCCTCACAGCACTGCTTACAGGGACGCTCACTGCAGCGAGACTCCTTCACCCAGTCGGCTTCCTGGAGCTCCTCACAGCAATTGCTGACTACACCCCCCTTGCTGACAGCCATGCTTTACTCTGCAACTCTTGCTCTGAAGGAAAACTGGATCATCAGAAAACGTTGCTGCCTTTTCTCGACGAGTGCCCCCCAGCAGCCCAAGCGCTTTGCAGGAGCAGCTCCTCACCTTAGCAGCCACCGCTAGGTGTCCTCTGCTCGTTCCCTTTGAGGGAGCCGCCTGCTTAATGACTGAGCTGCCTCCACCGCGGCTGGTTTCTGCAGCCTTTATCGTCAGCCCGGCTACACTGTTCTTTTTATGAGCTTGGCTGCATTTCCTGTGCAAACGTAGGAAGCTGGTACAATGCTGTACTAACAGGTTACAGAGCTGTAATATTTTGTGTGCTAAGAGCATTTGCATTTACTTACTGGGTTTTCTTTTAATGTCTCGTTTTATAAAGCACTTTGGATACGAATCAGCTTTCTCTGAGAATATTTTGGGGTTTCGCTTATTATGCCAAAAAGCACTATGCTAAAAAAGTAAACAAACTGACTGAAGTTATCTGTAAATCACGGCATTTCCTTATCCTCTGATAAAATGCTGGTTAATCCCTACCAGACTGCAGTGGTGAGAATAACTCCTTCCTGCACACAGGTTGAATTCAGCCTGTGTCAGAGGGCTTAATGTGCATGTGAGAAATGCTGAAGCATTCTGTTGATGTGGTGCCCCTGAGGCTGACGTCCACAGGGTACCTATGGCACTGCATGTGGATGGGCAGATCCTTCTCAGCTGACAGAAAGCACTTTGGGATGGAATGGTGCTAGCTCACTTAACAGGTCTACATGGTTACAGCCAACAAGCCAAATGCGTGTAGGTTGCATTCACAAAATTATTTATTACCTGCATCTTGACAAGATCCAGCACACTGATATGCACCAGGGTTTTGCTGTTAGAAGAGTCTTTGAGCACAGCTTTTCAACCCCCTCCCTTTCTTTTCCCTTTCTTTTTTAATTATCCCTCTCTCAGTCCCACAGTATCACTCCATTTGGCTTCCAGGCTACCATCTGTGTACCCTCAGGGAGTCAACAAGAGAAGAACAAGGGCCAGAAAACAGAGCACAGGTGAAAAGAGGTTAACAGGAGCTTCTTAAAATAGTAAAGGGCTGTTCAAGCCTCTAGAGCACAAAAGCATGTGACTAAGAGAAACACCTTGCCCAAACTAAAAACTAACATACATAAAAATGTAATCAAAAAGAGTGGGGAGAAAGAATAAACTTCAGCTTCTAATTCATTCAATATTTCACTTGAATTGTCTGTTAAAGGCCATTTGCCTCAGATGTGGGATAGATCACTTGCAGCAGAACAGTCTGGCCTTAGACAATAGGGATGCATACAAACAGAAGTCAGACAGAGGACATTCCACAGGCCACAGCCCAGATACCTCTGATCAGAACAGATGCCAACACTTCTCAGCAACATCTTCGCTTGCCCCTTCGCATTTAATTCTGGAGCAGGGCAAGGCCTACACAGCTCAACCATGTTTGAAGCCAGCCTTCAAACACTTAACACACAGGGAGTTGATCCAGCATCTCCTACAGGCTGCTGCCAATGGCAATGCTACAACCAAAAATGGACTTTCCCATTCATTTTGGTGGAAGTGGGCTGGAGTGAGAACTGTGGAAGTGGTGCAGGAGGTGGAGAAAACATCCGGTAGCCACATGACGAGGCATGTTTTGCTGACACAAGGCACACATGAATAGGCAAGCTGAAGAAAATTTAGGTTTGTTTCCTCAGTTTTGGGCACAAGCCTAGAATCTTGCTGAAGTAAGTAGGCACTGAGCACAAGGCCTTAATAATGCTGAAAGATGTCATCTCCCTCACAAAACCTCTTCACTGACATTGCTCAGTTGAGTTCTGAGGCATTTAATAAAGTGAGGTGCACTGCAAAGCCTTTAAGGCAACCTCACCTTCCTCTGGCCACACTGGAGGAAAGCTGCAAGAAGCAGCCGCTGGCTCTGTGCTCCCTGTGAGTCACCAAGCCATCCACAGGCTGGTGCTACTGTTGGCACTGCAGGTAAACCTAAGGTTTTGGGCTCCTGCAGCTCCAGCAACCTTGGAGCCACATGTACAGCCTGGGGACACACGAGCCCTTTCTCCAGTAACCACAGCTGTTTGGTAGTTTCTTGTTCCAAAGGTAGGCTGAGGGTGGATTTTGCTCCTCTAATCCCAAACTGCCATTTCATTTGGACATTCTGAGGGTGAAAGCAGTTACTCACATTCTGCAAGGGACCCATTTCACACGCTTCTCTTAAAGCACAAGCATAATTTACCTCATTGCTAGCATTTTGTCCCAGTGACTTTCCTAAAATATAAGCAATTCTGTGAGATAAAACATCCTCTGCTACTGAAAGCTCAGAGAGAGGGAAATACTACTGGTTTTAATTAGCAATATTCTTCAGATGAGTCCCCTACTAACCAGAGGAGCAGGCAATATTTCATCTCACTTCCTCTAGTTTACTTACTACTGCCTCCCTTCGCTGTGGTTTACCAGCAGGAAACCGCTGGAGGGGATAAATCCAGATGAGATTAAACAACATACAATTATCATCTTTACTATTACCAGGCTGGCTGCTTTTCTGCTAGATGCTGAAATGAGATTCACAGCCATTTTGGCTTCCACTCACTGTGGAAAGAAGCCACTCTTTAACTCCACACTCTCAGCCCCTAACTATTTCATTTGCTAAAAGCTGTTTTCTCTTTGGCTGGGTTCACCCTAACCAAAGGTAAATAAGAAGCATGTCCCAGCAGTGGGCATCTCCAGGGATACAAGCGTGTGCAGCACAGCAACTGTAGCCTCTCCTACACTGAGCTGGAAGAGAAGCCACCAAAGGGCTTCTTCCAAGTGGTGGTGAGACAACCACCTGTGTGCCTGACTCAGCACATTCTACTCCAGATTCCACCTGAAGATCTTACAATGGATGCAAAAACTCAAGGGTACAAACATGGAAAAAGAGAGGAAGACAGAAACAGGAAAGGAAAAAAAAAAAAGAAAGAAAAAAAAGAAAAAGCAGATTTCTCTTGAGCTCTGCTGATCTCACTGTACTGCAGATAGTCTGTCTGAATTTCTTACACGTTGCTGTGCTGGGTAGCACATTACCACTTCACTGCTGTGTGGGTTGACTCGTATAAAGCCTAAGAAATATGAAGCCATCACACATATCACTTTCTATGTGAATAAGGGCAATAATAACCAATACCTAACACAGATGACCAGTTTAGACTCACAAAAATCTTCCATAGTCTTTTATGGGGTCAGTACTCTTTCGCACTTCCCAAAGAGTGCTGCTGTGCTCTTTATCAGGAGCCTTCAGCAAATTGAAAAGACATCTCTAATCCTTTACCTACT